CAGCAATGGCCTCCAAGCTGTATCTCGCCCTCCTCTGCATTATCATCTACGTTGTGAGATTAACGAATTAGATAGCGTCCTTTGGATATTTTCTCTTGGTCATGCTGGTGTGTTGGGACACAACAGGCAAATAGACTGGCCGGTTATGCCCTATTTGGCGGTGAATTGATGTGCAATAAATTAGATATTTTGAGGGTCCTTTGGAGGCACAAATACATCAATACCGTCTGAGGAGAATGGCGCTTAGGGGAGTTACCAGTTGATATGGCAAACTCTTAACGCTCATAGGGAAGGTGAGACGGATATACAATCAGTTTCTGGTCCCATCGAAACTGGAACTCTTTGCTTACTGCCGAAAAAGGGGACGCAGCGCTTATAGGAGTGTCCCAGGATTGTCGCATCATGTATTGTTATCCCACCGGAATTCATGATATCCTAGAAACTCCATTCAACCCCTCAAGGTTGTCTTCTTCTTCAATATTTCTGTCAGAAAACTTATATCAGGAGGCCAGTAGTCTTAATAAAAGCTATCGTACAGTCCATATCCTCTCGTGTACCATACAGCTTTGTCTTCATTGTGGTTGGAACAGGCCAGATTGCGTCTCTGATGTCAGCAAACAGTTGGCAGTGTTTGAGCACATGCTCAACATACTCTAGTGCTAAGATGCAGGGACAAGTCTCTGTGTTTCCTAAACCAAACAATTTGAACATGTGTTGGCGAAGTCTTTTGTTTCCCATCCTTAGTCTGAATATAAAACGTTATTCAGTTCCAGAGGCTACAAAGCGAGTCTTGAGAAGACATTCTGGTGTGTGTATTCAGTCACCTCTCTTTGATACTAGACTGTGTTAAAGTATTGGTCTCTTGATAGCCTAAATCAGTATTTGACTGCACCGTGACACTGCAGCTAAAAGTTATAATTACTCACCTGTAACGGCTACCTCTGGAAGAACACAGATCGACTATGCAGTTCTGTGCGGCTCAGGATGTGCTTTTACAGGCCTTTTTTTTTTTTTTGGTTATATAGATTCATAGCCATGCGACTCAAAGAGCCGCGATTCAAATAAGCCCGTCGAACAGGAGAACATGTCCGAAACCAGTTTAACCACATCACAGTTATGTTAGGACAACCGAGGTTAAGAAAAATTCGAACTGCAGTGAAGAGGATTATCGAATATAGCCCGTAGAGTCTCTGAAAATATTCACCTAAAGTAGAAGAAGTCTTTAGTTATTGATTTCATTTTGGAATACAGTATATCAAAATATTGCAGCCTATAGTGGGAGCTTCTAAATAATGAAAAATTGCATCCCACAATGGGGATGGCGGTGATGATAAGGCCCATGGTGAAGGCTTTGCATTTTATGGTAGCGATGACCCCCAAAAATTATGCACTTTTGCGTGCTGTCAGAAAAAAAAAATCATACTGCTAACCGGCTTCTTTATGAACTGAAATATTTTCCTCTGTGGGTTCCGAGAACCCTTTGTGGGGAAAACTAGAATAGAACCCCTGCCTCTCCAGCAAACATGTGGTAAGAGTAAACTAACTTGGGGCTTTCTTTAAAGTCATAGTGAATCTACTCTAGAAGCAATGAACCAACAATTTGCATACAAATTAGTCATATCTGGAAAATGGATATGCCTGCAGCATTCAGATTCTGGAATAGAACTAAAGTTTAGAAGTGGGCAAACAACTGGAACTTGAAAACTGTCGGTAATTATTATAAGTTATGTTTTCTGCCTTTATATATTGTTTATTATTGTTGATTTTGCCACCCATAGTTAATAGTCCTAGGTTGTTTTTGTTTTAAATACCTAGGGTATTGCAAATGGCATGCTCTATGGTGAATTAAAGACGAATAGAAGACGTTGCGGTTGACCTCTACTACAATATATAGATGTGTGCAAGCGGGACATGAGTAATACAGGAATTGAGGTGTGATCGCGGGCACAAAATGCCATGGACCGTGTTGTGTGGAGGAGGCACATTAGGAATGGAATGAAAATAAAGGAAGAAATGATTGTAGAAAGGATGAGAGCTGAGCGTCTGAGAAGAAACAGACTGGTCCTGAAATCCCACGCTATAATTGTGGAATACTTATCTTAACGCGGGTGGGTCTTGCTAGTCACACTCGCCATCACCATAGGCTGTGAGTTCCATGCCTCCTCATAGCGCAATATAACACTATCGTCTGGAAAGACAGAAAGGTGCCAGTCAGTATCTGTAATTGGGAGTCGCCGTGGCCGAGTGGCTAGACGCTCATCGCGGATCGGAAGGTCGTGGGTTTGCTGCCTGGCGGAGCCGGACTTTTTTAAAAAATGACCTTGGCTCCCAGGTCGACCTAGCCTTGAGTGGGTACCTGGTGCAGTCCCGGGACAGTAAAGGCAGCCGGCGTAATACTGACCACATCACCCATCTTGTGCCGATTGGTCTATAAAAATATAGGTCTAGCCTTACATACCCTTTACGCCTGATGGCGTGGAAAGGGTCCTTTATTTTTGTTACTACTTTACAGTATCTGTAACTGAAAAAAAAACTTTATCAGAGTGAAAAGGTTAACATTATTCAAAGGGGTTTTGCATTTCGAAGTGTATAGTGCATAATAATGTGAGAGGCTCTCCTATGCCATATGCAAGTGTGGAGGGTGGAGGGTAATATCAGAGGCTTTTGTGTATGAATGTGGAAAGTGCAGGGTTATGAAAGAATTGTAATTTGTCAATGAGGAAAATAGACGGTAATAAAAGTGGCTTTTTTTTATATCAATGTGGAGATTACAAAATAATATGAAAGGCTTAGGGGTAATAAAAGAGATTACACGATAATATGAAAAGCTTAGCGGTAATAAAAGAGGCTTTTATATTTTAGTGTGGATAGCGAGGTGTAATATGATATGGTTGTACATTTCAGTGTGGATAGCTCAGTATAATATGAGATGACACAATCATGGACAGTTGGTAGATTAGTGAAAATTTATTTGGAAGCTGAGAAGATGTGGTTTTATAGCCGAAAGATAATAATACCTGGACAGATAACAAGAGTAATCAGGATGTCCTAAAAGAAACTGACTCACGAAAAGAACTAATTGTCTACATCGGAAAGAGACAATCTACATTGTTTGGTGAGAAGGAGAAAACTGGAGTACATCTTGACAGAAGAAGAGCTGGAGGGGAGGAGAAGCAGAGAGACAGAGATAGATAGATAGAGAGAGAGAGAGAGAGAAAGAGAGAGAGAGAGAGAGAGAGAGAGAGAGAGAGAGAGAGAGAGCGAGCAATGCTGGACAGTTTGACATCAATGCATGGAGGATCATCTGTGTCAGAGTTGATTGAAAGTACAGGAGACAGAAGGTTATGGATTGACTTGACTACCTATGCCACCTGGCATTGACTTTAAGAATAAGAAATTGATGTAAAAGCAAACTGCATTATCAGAAGTATGAATGCAGACAACACATGGTTATATGAGAGAGTTTAACAAATGTATATGGCTAACACATATCTGCATGTCAGGAATTTGTAGTAGTCACATTGACAATCAATTATTTTGTCACATTCTCAAGTCAAAAATGTCAAAATAAAAATGAATATTTTCCTAACCGTGTTTCTACGTTATATTGCCAAACTGCTGCGTTTATTTTAATAATTTTGTTTTAATTAAGGTTATTCTGTTCTAAAACCTGACAATGTTTCTTGGGTCGGGGGGAAAGAGGGGTTGGAAAAGGGTGCAGGGGGGGGGGGAGGGGCTCAACACATTATTCCAGTGTTTCTCAAAATGTTCTATGTAGCAGCGCCTTTTTTTTTTTTTTTTTCAATTAAAATAATTCCATGTTGCCCTAAACTAAGTAAAAGTGTGACTGTTCGGTCTTGGTTAAATTAATTTTTAAGCTTTTACAATATTTTGCCGCGCCCGTGTGAAGAGGTCAGGTCTTCCCGGGGAGCCGCGGCGAACAGATTGGGAACCACTGCATTATTCATTAATAATAAAACAAACAGATCCAGTGTTACCAGCACAGACCTGAAGATATTAAAAAACCTGGCGTAATAGGTAAAAACTAGCAGTGCGTTACCTGTTAATATTATAAGACCTATGTGGATTAACTCTTCTTCTTCACTTTCACCTCCTGTAAACTCCGGCTGAAGGTTATGGTTGTCGGTCCACTTCTGAGCTCCGATCTTGTTCAAGAACTTGATTTGTGTGTGCACATCTGTTTGACCGATCTGGAAAAAAATTGAATGTAGACTGTTGGCGCCACGTCTCTCATGTAGATGCATTCAGGCCTCAAGAAAAACATCCCAGACTAGTCCACGTTTACTACATGCTTGTCAGTGAGTCTATTTTAGTTAGACAAATATGGTATATTTTTGACGGCTCTGTGGCCAAGTCGATGCGAACGCTTCGTAATGCCGGGGTACCGGGTTCGATCCCAGATGCGGGCCATACGCCTTGCGTTGGTTTCGACAGTGGTATCAGGGAGCCGACCGTCCAGGGAGCAATGGCAAACTACTGGACGTAACCTAGTGAAACCACACAACAGCCCGGGACTGATGGGGTTGGTTCTGCAACGTTCTGTAAAGGATACGCAGCTAACAAGGTATATTTTTACCCACAAACCTCTCAACCCCCCCCCCCCCCCCCCCTTCCTTGGTAATGGTCCCCCAGAACCCCCATGAAGAATACGTGGATTATATATTAATATACTTCTTCTTGCTCACTGCACTATTTTCTTTTTCAAAAGGTAACAAATTGGGCACAGTGCTGTGTTACAAGTTAATTGTCGATCCTTTACAGGACGTTGCAGAACCAACCCCAGAATGTGTTGGCTGCTATGGTGTTTCTACGCAAATCTTATGTTCAGCAGTTTGCAATTTTTTACTGAAAGTTCAGCTCTTGGTGCCACTGTCAAAACCCACGCAAGACAAATCATCCACAGCTGGGGTCGAACCCAGGCACCCCGACATTACGAAGCTCATTCGCAACGACTTAGCCACAAAAGCCGAATGTGGGTGTACAGAAGAATAAAAGACCATGCTTTGTGGAAACCAAACTGGAAAAAAAAATTTAAAAAAAAAGCGCAGATGTTATCAGTGAATATTTAACCGAAAAAAAAAAAAAATATAAAAACCCATGGCAAAGTAACTAGCAAGCGATGAGGCAAAATTGTGCAAAATTGTGAGACTGTGTACCTTCCATTTAGAAGTATCGCTCAACAGTCCTTGTTTAACTCAGCATCCACTTTTTGTTTCGCACAAATCTAATCTTTCATTATTTCTTGTAAAATTATCCTTAGCATTAGGAAGATGACAGTTAGCTTTGGTCACGTCGCAATGCAATCGAGCCCAGCGTCATAAAATAAATGTACACATAGATCTGGCCAGTAAGACAAATATGGTATTGTCTGTACTTCAAAGTATTGAGGTATTTGTTGTATCAAGGTTTACATATGTTACTTTTCACACGGCGCCCGTCGGCCGCAACTCTATTCGTTGATTATCACAACACTCAGCTATTGTTTTCACGACGAATTAAAGGAAAGATTAGACCCGATCGCTTGGATGGCCGAATAACATTCGTTGACTTGCATAGACTACGATTTCAAACTATACGGAGACGTATTTTTTAAATGTTGATTTCGTAATTGGATTACTAATCAGTGACTCCGGATTTTGCAGTATGACAACAAGTGTAACTATAATTTTTACAGCATTGCTTTTTAAATAATTTCTCGCCTGAACAGGACTGCAGGCTGCGCTGTGCAGAGCAGCTACAACGGATGCCCGAATCATAACTGCTTTGGAGGCTGAACCAGATATCCATGATTTGCCCCGTTAGGTTACCACCTGTGTTAGGATTTCACAATTCTTAGTGTTCATCAAACCTTTAAGTAGCAGCCCTGGGGGAACAATAAAGACCACGACGTGAAAATGAAGGTGAGAGGATCGACTTCATTACACCAGGTGTTATCGTATATGGCTCAGTCTCTCCCCGCAGAACAGCTAGCTGCCTGCCAAGGCTGTCGCACAGATCACTACTTCCGTAGCTCCGGCCAGGATCCCCAGGGATCTCCGTAAACATTGCACTCGTGAACTGAATGACGCCGCTGTGAAAAGTAAACGGCTCGACCACTTCGCCACAGAGGCTACGACGAGGAGCGTGTTCAGATTTGTTCAGTGGATGTCTTATTAAGACGTCTTTGCTGGGCTTGTTCTGCAACACTTGGGTGATCAATTTACGCCTGAACGCTAGATGTGGCCATTTGGGAGCGAGTGAACGGCACGGAGGCACAAAAAGATCCAAAAAGGTCAGGGGGAAAAAATGAGGCAACAAAAGAGGGGTAGGGAGTGACCAGGCGATTTGGCCGAGGTTCAAAAATCAATTAAACAGACAGACGGACACACAGCCAGACGGACACATAGCCAGATGGACACACAGCCAGACGGACACAGCGCCAGACGGACACAGCAAGACGGACAGACAGCCAGACGGACACACAGCCACACGGACACACAGCCTGACGGACACACAGCCAGACGGACACACAGCCAGACGAACACACAGCTAGACGGTCACACAGCCAGACGGACACAGCAAGACGGACACGCAGCCAGACGGACACACAGCCAGACGGACACACAGCCAGCCAGACACACAGCCAAAGGGACACACAGCCAGACTGTACTAACGGAAATGGATCTCTGCGCAGGCAGCTAAAAGTGACGATAAGAGTTGAGTTTATTAAAAAATTGACACCACAGCACTCGGGGCATTTCCATGCGTGCTCCGTCCTCATCTTCAGCAGTCAGCGCAGAGTTCCAATACTGATGGTACCGGTCACAATCTGGTTATATGTTAGTCTTTTCTTTTCTCTGCGTGTAGTGAGCAGGCCAGACTCAGGTGCCTCATTCTCTTCAGGAGCAAATAATCTTCTTTCTCTAATGAGTCTGTTCCGTGTTCCAAAAAGGCCTTGACCACATCTGCCTTGTCATGTATCAATTCATCACCTAGTGCTGCAGATCTAGCCAGTCTGTCAGCCTGTTCATTACCCAATACGCCGATAGCGCCTGGAGAAAAGATCCAAAGTATGCTCACTACCTATGACTTTAGTGAGGATAGGCATGTCCTCAGTCTGTAATGTTGGTTCTGAACTCGGCCAACTTAACACTGTTAGAAGTATTTGTTTCAAAATACCGATTACATTTCTACTAAGACTAAGAATAACCTCCTCGGTTTACGATGTAATCATATATGTGAAAAGCAAAGCACCTTTGTTCGTGCCTTCAGGTGTAGATGGCATATAGGGCTAGGTTTATATTTTATGACCAATCGACACTTCGTGGTTAATGTGGTCATCATTATGCCGCCTGCCTTTACTTCGCAGGGCTACGCCTGGTTTGTACATCATATATGTAGCTTGTGCATACATAACTGTTCAAGATCTAATTATCTAGACTTCCAGAGCCACAAGGGGAAATAGTAGATTTTCTCCTGCCTGTTACGACTGGTGTGCAA